CGGTTGCCTCATTTGCAAGCGAAGGGTCGAGTTTGAACCACGCCCGCTGAACTTGATACAGCGCCGCCTGCAGTAGAGTATCCTCGACTGAGAAGCCATGAGAAGGGCTGAGCTGGATCAAACCACCGATTTGCACTGCGCGGGCAAGAGAGACCAATTAGGACGGGATGTATCAATCATCGCCCGCGCAAAAGCAGGGGGTGGGCTTGACGCCCATGCATAGAGGGCACCTGTCACAATCTCCGACCCCAACACCAGGCTGAGTGGGAGGGGCCGGCGACGCTTTCGAACGTCCAACGCACACCACACACACACACTCACACTCAACCCCTCCCTCGCAAAAGAAAAAAAGCAGGTTATATTTCCAATCGAACTAATCCTCCCGTCCACAGCCTCACGGAATGTGTCGACAAGTAATCCGATGCGTCCACTCTCACGCACAGAGAACCAGGTTCCTGACCTCCGAGTATACGCGGGCCAGAACCACGTGGGGTGGCCCCCAATGCTTCAGCCATTCCAATTCCTTCCCACCCCTTAGCCCTACGGAGCACGGCTTCCAGTGTCTTATTAAGGCAAGTAGGGAGTAGTTATTGCGGAAATGTCACTGATTGGCAGACTCAGCCTCGTCCATGAACCCCAAACCCGGACTCCGTTGAACATTCCGTTTCAAGCAAGAAAGCACGTCCCACCCCGCAATCCTGCGAGACGTTAACCCTTCCTCATCAACTAGGGAAATGTTGCCAAGATAGGACAAAGTATGTGAGCCCCAAAAGCCGGAATTTGACACCCAAAAAACCATGGACCAAGGTGAGGCTCTCCGGTGATAGGGTCTCATCTCAGCTGGGATCCGCAGTTTGTGCCTCGAAATAAGGCACAGGCTGGATCTCTGAAACGCCTCCTGGTTACAGCAATCCACCAATCAGGTGCCAATGTAGCCCTACGGAGTCGTATTCAGCACATCTTTTTCAAAGCCCGATGCATGCTAAATTGAATAGTTGGGATTGAATGAGGAGTCTTAAATTTGGGACCGTTCATCACAAATCTGCGGCATAAGTATAAGTCGGCTCGAATTTGAAATTTTTCTCACGATTGATTGGTGGTCACCAAGTAAATAGTTACTTCCCAAGTGACAAATGAACTATGCAATATGGCTTACAGTATGGCTTGCTCCAAGCAAATGCAAAATCTAGATTCCAAAAGTCCAATGCCCGGGCTTGGGAATCAGAAACAAAAAGAAAAAAAAAAGGTTTAAATAGCTCCTGTGACGGATGGCCAATCAATCTGCAGCGGACTTGATTCCGCGGGTGATTTGTTAGGAGGAAAAAGTATAAGTGTATAAAGAGGAATAAGCAAGTATACTTTAGTTGGAATAAATCAATCAGGGATAGAAAGAAAATTGGGGAAGTGGGAGTGGTCTCATGATCGTGACTTATTTGTGATGTGTATCATCGGTAGTTTTATGGGTTCTTTTGTGTATATTCTTGTGCTGGGAATATATACATACACTCCTTATACGAGGTTAAATTCTTATTATTTTGACTGTGTTTATTTCCTTTTGTCCAGACTTCATTAGATATAAGATAGTAAATTGTAGATCGGAAAAGTAGCTACAATTGCAATGAAATACTCACAAACCCACACTATCAAGAAACCCCTTCTCAGCATCGCAATACAGTAGAATTATAGACTTACTTACTCTTCCTTACATTCACTATGAGGATAAAGCACCAAAGATCCTTCCCTACTCAATTACTGTTCAGTACTATATCCAGCCAAGTGACATAATAGCCTGAAAAAACTACACCACAATAATACTAATCTATACAAACTACAAATATATATTGTAAGAAGGAAAGCTTCAAACAAACATACACAAGCATCTTGATCAATCTAGTATTTGTTAGATACAATTTGACAATAATACTGCCAGACATGAACTATGAACTATCCATCTATCCCCTGCATCAATTTTCCCCCTCCCCCTTCTAGTTTCCAAAAATATCATCCACCGACACTACCTGTCTAACAATATCACAATAACCAAGTTTACTAGACTACTGTATACTAAATATATATACCCTGCGCAAATCACCGCAGGATCGGATCGTCTCTAAGCAGTTAATAGTACTAACTACTTTAATACCCCCACCTAGTACCTACTTACCAAATATTATAATAGTATATGACGAGTCCACAAAACAAATAAATATTGAGTGTGTGTGTGCACTACTCCACCAGGGAGATGTAATGCCATTTCCAGGGTACTCTCGTAGAAAGGCATCGAATCATTCCTTTTTTTCCAAAGTAAGTGGGGTGTCGGGCGTTCGTTGTTCGTAAGTATGTTTTTCGAAGGATCGATTGCTGGGGTGGCGGTGCGAAACAACTAGGTTACTTACGAGGATCGTATATCGTACAGAGTATGTGATTAAGGTTTAGGGATTGATCCTGCGGTGTTTTGGGTATATTTCGTTGCTGCCTATCTACTACTTGTGGTGTCATTGTTGATTGGATTGAATTCGGTGTGTGGGATGCGATATAGGTGGCTGTGTGTTTCGGGGCGTTTACTGTAGGCAGAAAGGAGTAGATCCTACGTAGGAGATGATTGTATCTATTTTTGTGTGTAAATATTTGTTTGGGGTTCATCATGTTGCGTAGTATGTACAATAGGGGAAAATATAGGACTTTTTTTTCCTGTTTCGGGAAGATGTTTCGTTCATTCATCCTCCTCTTCTTCAACGTCATCATCATCCACATCCTCATCGTCTTCATCTTCGTCATCGTTATCCTCAAACTCCACCCCCAGGTTACCCGTGATATCCCAACGGTCGCCCTTGGCAGCCTCGCTGACATACTTGACGAACTTCAGGGTACCGCTGTCCCGCAACACAATGCTGAGTCGGTTCCATCCGGCGGCAGTGCTGAAGAGAATGCCGTCATCGTCATCGTCGGCGCCTGCGGACCGGTAGATCGCTGCATCGCCCTCATCTTCGTCGTCGCCGGCCATGTAGATCTCGTATCCACCCACCGAAGGCTCCTCGGCGTCGCCGTTGGCGACGGCTCCTTCATCCTTCTTCTTCTTCGGCTTGACCGCCTTCTTCTGCTGCTCCTCCGATGAGCCCTCGCCCATCTCCTGATCCTGATCCTGATCCTCCTCCTCCTCGTCGTCGTCCTCCTTCTCCCAGCCCGGAGTGGGCGTCAAGCAAAGCGACAGCTCCAAACGGGGCTGTTCTCCATCATAGCCACTGGCCAGGGTGTAATCCTGGCCTCTGCGGAAGCGACGCGCCAGGTAGTCGTAGCTGGTAATACGGTCCGCACCGGTGATCAGAGCGAGCCACTTGCGGAATGCCCGGGAAGGGAAAAGGTCGTCGAGGAGTTCCTGGATCGGAGATTTCTGGTCCTGGGTCGCGGTGCCATGTTGCTGGAACAGGTAGCGCTGCTTGTGGGGAGGACGGGCGACCGTCCATCCGGTCTGGGCGAGAATCTCATCGGAGGAACTGGGCAGGCCCTTCTTCTCCTGCTCTTCAATGTAGGTCCGAACACGGGTCGCAAACTTCTCCGAAAGGAATCGTTCCAGACTGAGACACGACTCGTTTTGGAAGGTCTCGGACATTTCCTCGGCGATGTCGGGGGTGAGGTAGGATGGGGCGATGTATTGAATCAAGAAGGCGAGGTCGGATTCTGTGAATTCGGGCGTGGGCTCCTCTTCCACTTTCGCCTTGCCCTTGCCTTTACCTCCTTCCTCGGGTTGTTGCTCGTCCTCGTTCTCGCAGTCGACGGTCTTGGGCTGGGGGAGGTCGTAGATGTCGCCGCGGCCCTGGAGCTGGGCCAGACTACTGCGCTCGGCGAGCTTCTCTTCCAGACCGGCTTCGTAGCCGTCCTCGCCTTCCTGCGGGATGTGGAACCAGCCGCTGATGGCCATGCGCACGCGCTTCTTGGACTTGTCTTCGTTGTCTTTCGGGTGGTAGACTTCTTCGACGTCGTGGAAGCTCTCTCCGGGCTGGACGGTGAAGAAGCTGAGCTGGTTGAAGGCGGGAGGGATGCTGAGGGAGTAGTCGGGGCTGGGGATCAGGACGTCGTCGCCGTTGGCATCCTTCTTGGTTGTCGTGGGGTACAGACGCAGTGCGCCACCCCATTCGGCCTGCCAGGGTTGGTCGGGGTCGGTGAGGTAGAGAATGTAGGACAGACGTCTGCTTCCGATGACATCGTCGTGGCAGAGCAAGTGGCAGCCCTCGTTGTAGACGTTGATGGCCATGTCGGTTTTTTGTCCGCTCAGCTTGCCAGAGCCGGTGACCTTCGAGAGGAATTCACGGAAGCGGGCAGAGTACATGGCGTCGCGCAGCTTGAGGATGGAGGGCAATTTCGCAAGAGAGGCATCGTCGAGACCGTCCAGGTTGGCCAGGTCGCCGGATTGGAAGATTTTGTAGATGTCGGTTTCCTTCTCGGTGAACTGCACCTGGGCCTGGATTTCGTCGCGGACGGCGCGCAAGAGGGAGGGCTCGATGAGGGGGTGGATGACACCATGCTTGTACCTTTAGTCTTGGGGTTAGCATCGCTCATGTTATCTGCCAGTCAGAATGTATGATGGGCAGCATACGGAGCAGACTGGGCATATTGCTCGGTATAGTCCTTCAGGACCGACGGCTCGAACAAGCCGTCACGGAAGCGCGCAGCGGCTTCTTCGCTCGACAAAGCGCGCTTCTTGGACTCGGGCTGGTCTTTGCCGCCGAGGGATTCTCTTCCATCAGTCTTGCGCTTCATTGTGAGAAAAAGGGAAAGGAATGCGAGATTGAATAGACTCTGGAGAGGGTTCAATCTTTAAAGGAATGCGAATTTTGCCTTTAATTTTTCGAATAAATTTGGCGGTGAAAAATCTGCAGGCATCAATCAGGCCACCAGATCAGGCCATATGATTTCCTAAAATAGACACATTCACTTGAATGGATTCATTTAACTGTTTATTTATTTACTTCCTTATTGTCTGCTGCTGAACAGAGATTCACTGGTTGTTCATTGAGAAATATACAAGAATAGTCGATACAATAAATGTATTGTGGAGATGCACTTTCCAACCAACTGCCATCAGCATGCATTTCCCAGCCACCAACAAGCAAAGTGACTGGGGTTGATTGACTCCGCACTGGAGCCCCGATAATCGCCTTCGATAAGCGCATCCAGCACCTTCCATCGCTCTTCTGACTCAAGCATCGCCTCGTCCAACATGAACTGTCATTGACTGTCTCATACGAGCAGTAATCTTGACTTGTCACTTTCATCAGACTTGCTTCCTGACCGTCACCGCTATTGCCATCCCTTAAATCTCTCAGTTGCAGGCACAGACGTCATTGCCGTCGATCATCGCATCGATCCAGCCAGCAACCCGTTGGATCAGGTTATCCTTCTGTTCCTACCACGTATCATTCCTCAACAACCCCTCCGGTTCCTGCTCTCTTCAACTTTGCGCAATGCAGCCTTCGCAGGAGAACCAAAGCAATCAGCCTGATCGGCCAGGTACTCCGCCGCGCCCGCCTTACTCGCCCGTGACTCCCGTCTTTGCCCATCTTGTGCCTGTCACGAACGCCGCCGCGGGGAACGGCGCTCCTCACCCTATTGTTCCTCCTGCTGCGTCACCTTCGCCAACAACAAGAGTGCCCCCGTATGGTTCATCAGCGGACTTTACCCCGCCGGCTGCAGCCCCCGTGTTTGCGCCCGAGCCGGCCGCCGTCCCGATCTCGGAGAGCGAGAACCCAGATGCCATTGCTCTGCGATCCGCGATCTCTATCCTTCAGCTCCAGAAGCAGCAAAGCATGCGGGATATTCAGACGCTAGAAAAGTTCAAGAAGGCCGCAGCAGAGGATCCAGAAGGGTTCGCCCGCGAACTGGCAGCGGGAAATCTGTCGGCTAAGGATACAGGGGCTTTCATCAACTTCACTCATGACAAAGACTCGGGGGACGAGGAGGTAGAGAGTCCGAAGAGAGGCGTTTATTCTGGGCTAGGGACCCTGCCCACGCCGCAGAATGTTGTCCGCATGCCTCCCATCAACTGGAACAAGTACCAGATCGTGGGCGAACCGTTGGATAAGATGCACGAGGAGCAGCGGAGGCGGCCGTCGTCCGGTGAACCCAGACGCGACGATAGTTCTCAAAGAGCGCCGGAGCATGTTCTGGCTTCGCCGTATCGGCCTCTAGTAGACAAACTAGAGAGTCCGGGAAAGGCTAAAGGCACCAACAGAAACAAGAAAACTTGATAATCAGTGATTATTGGAAAAGCTAGTTACAAGAACCGTCCAGTGAACCGTCAAGCTTTGGTACATGAGTGGACATTCATCTTACTATGTAATTCAAAGAGACAGAATCAGAGGGTACGTCAGCCGCCTACTGACATGTGCCGGCAAAACTGACGGTGTGACAGGGAATTGCTACCACAGCAGAATCTCATGCGCAAACACCTCAGGTTCACCCATCGCCTTTCGAAGTCTGTCATGAGCTGTCAAGATTCTTTCCCAAGGGGTAGCCTCATTTTCTTGGTTTTCTTTCCCATCATCCATCACTTGCGCGGACCCCTTGGCCGCCTTCTGCAGACCAAGATTCCTCTGGTACATGTTATGGAGCGCCTTCTTTCTCAGATTCTCACGTCCATAGTGCCTCACGATCACATTAGCACGCATGAATCTGCTCATCTCATGGCTCTTCAACCACGCCTGTGCCTTGGGACAGTGGCCCTTGGTTTTCCAGAGGATACTTGCGATGACGTCGTAAGAAAGAGGAGGGTTCTTATCAGTGATTCCATTTGGAGGGAATTCCGAGGATGCAGCTTCTTGGTCCACCTACTGCCCGTCAATGGTTCGCCCCTTCACAACAGATTTCACATCCATATCCTATCTTACCTCATCACGTTGCCAAACCTCGATCACCTCTGGATAGCTTGGCAGTGGCCCGAACGGCCTGGAGAGCTGTTGTTCTCTCACGGTCCAGTAGTTCTTCCACAGTGCCTGTCCCTGCCGTTCCAGCCACTCATCCTTTTCTTTGCGTCTCTTCTCAATGTAAGCGGCCATGGCGGGATCAACTTTGGAAATGCTATCAGCCGTGATGGGTCCGCCCCCAGGGACGCTGTCAGCAGTAGTGGGTTCAACTTTAGGCACGCTGTCAGAAGTGCTAGGATCGACCTCAAGCACGCTGCCAACATCATCAGTGCTGGGATCCAGTTCATCATCCGCCTTGCGTTTTCTGCTCTCCATGTTGAAATCAAGCTGTATCTAATATAAAGATTTAGCAAACTTTGTAATGAAAACCGAAGATAAAGATAAGTTAGAATACCTAGTTACACTTGTAGATACTATGAAGTCAACAACGAGATAATAACTAAACGATGTAGTAAGCGTGATTGCACGCCAAACCGGCCATTAAGAATCTTGTATAAGTCTCACTTCGCGAGGGCAAGGCCCCATCCCAGCGCAGTGAATTGAAGTTCACTAAAGAAGGCAAGCAAGCGAGCCATCATGCTGTGTTTATGAAACAAAAGTGCGTGAAGTGAGTGTGGCGGAGTATGTATCTAGTTCACCTTGAGCTCACTGTGTTGTGATATGTTACTGAGAATGAGGTTAGGGAATGGAGTTTGGTGTATGCAGTGGGCTGTCTTGGAGTAGATAGAATGTTAGAGAATGTTACAAGAAGACTCCGAGGTGAGTACTATTTGTATTAGGTATTCTCTCTTTAAATATAGGTTGGTGGAGATAGTATAGGAAGTCGAAGTGATTGATGTGAAACAGCTATGAAGGAATTAAAGGGACTTTGCCATTCTCTCTCTCTCTCTCTCACACGAGTATCTGAAGTCCCTGGTAATATAAGTTCATCACTTATAGTAGTATTTTCTTAGCTGTTGCCTTTCTAGGGAACATGTCTCACATAGTATAGTATTTCTCATCGGCTGTGGTCAGCCTTGTAGATTCAATATATGTCAACCTGTGACTAGAACAAGTAGTAACTCCAGTCTCTATGAAAAGTTACTACCACCATTCCCATCATCTCATGTTCTATATAGAGCCTTAGTATAAATCATCTATATATCTAGTACGCCACATGCAATAAAACATCACAACTTCGCCCCCTTCCTCCCCTCCCAAACCTCCACACTCTTCCTCCCAACATCCTCCATCTCGCCCTTCCTCTCCTCCACCCTCTCCCTCCACTCCAAATTCCCCGAATGATCATCCACCACCCCCAACAACCTCCGATACATCTCCTCCTTCATGACCCCATAAATCTCCGTCTTGGGCATCAACACCAACTTCCTCTCCTTCACGAATTTCACCGTCTCCTCCACACCTCCCAGACCATCCACAATGCCCACGCGCAGCGCCTCCGGCCCAGGAAACCTCTTCGCCTCGAGCACAACATCCCGACACACATTCGGCGTCAACTTCTCCCGGAAGACATGCATCATAGGCGCTTGCAACGGAACCCCGAATTCGAGCTCGTTGATGCACAGAAAACCCTTACTCGGGTTCTGGATCCGGTAGTCGTGGTACATGGCGAGCATGAAGCCGCCGGCGAAGGCGTGGCCGTTTAGGAGGGAGATGGTGGGCATGGGGTAGCTGTATTCCACATATAGATATATATTAGTACGGTTCATGTTTGTTAGTGGTAAAATTGAAGAACATACGTTAACAGTCGACGAAACAACTTCCACAGCCATTTATCCAGAAACCCCTCTGTGGATTGCGCAAGTTCGAGATCTAGTCCATTGCTGTAGAACTTGGGGATCCCGCTGGTGGTGATTAACACACCCTTTTGGTAGCGGTGTTCGATGATGTCGAGGGCCAGGAGAAAGGTGTCGATGAAGGTCGGGGTGAGGCGGTTATCTGGGGGCGAGGTGAAGGTGAGGAGGTAGATCGTTGGTTGATCGGGGGATGGGTTGGTGCAGGTGATGGAGCCGGAGGTGGACGGGATGGGGAGCGTGAAGAGTGGAGATGTGGTGGTGGACATGGTGGTGGTACAGTGAGCAAGGGTTGCTGCTCGTTACTCGTTGGTGACTGTGTACGTGTGTGACATGAAGCGGGGATGGTAGAGAAGATGCAATGGTGGTCTTGTATACTTTGAGGATTGGTTGTGATCAGTAATCGTTAAATTGTATTGTTTATTAGATTTGGGGAAACAAAAATAGGGAGTGATTCCCGCGGTATCACATGCGCTTGAAGTATGTCCCGATTAAATTTATTGCATGTGGCTTATGTTCTGGATAAATACGTACTTGCTTTTGATAGAACTCAGATGATCGCTCTAATAGCCCCATTTTTATTAGCCCTCTCTACTGAATTTTATTCCAACGGCATAAGCCCATCCCAGCTGCATCCGTCCTCCCCGCATACCCTCATCATCCATCCATCGACCAGTTACTGTGAGGCATCCTTTTCGCTGTCTACCATATTTGACATCTTCAATTCCACTAACCGCTTCCATTACATGATAACAGATTGATTGTTTGATCCTGCAGTTCTATAATGCAATCTCCAACCCAGCCAGATGGGAATATGACAGCTAACGGCCAAGCAACAGACCACTAGCAGATCCCCTAGCGAAATCATCAATTTCTTAATCACCTCCAGCGCGAACAATACCACTAACTCCATAGAATAAAACAGTCCATGCAGTTCATAGAACCTATCTACACTATCTACTCAAGAACCAACTATTCTTCACAACTCCAAAATTGACATCACATCATCACTGACGTCATCCCCTCACAGCTCCCTTATTCTTATAGTAACCATCACCACCATCACCGCATCCCAACTCCTCCATCCCAACCTTCTACACTCAGACAACAACATCCATCATCTCTAATAAATCACTGCAATACCAATCTACAACCCCCAACCAACCAACAATGCAATCATCCCACCAACAACAACCCCCCCAACCCCCCAAACAAGAGGCCTACAACCAACCCACCAACCCAGTAACCCACACACCCTCCGAGCAACGCACTTCCCAATCCTCATCCCAGAATCCATCGCAATACGACCACCTCCCCCGACACCGCGGCGACGCCCTCTCCCCCATAACCCGCAACGCATCCTCCCAGCCCTCCAATTCCAACTCCAACCCCAACACCGCCAAACACCAAGAATCCATGCGCAACGCCGCCTCCACTCTCGACACCGAATACGGAGTCGAGCAGCAGCCCGCAGAAGGGGACATCGCGCGGGCCGTGCAGGGCAAGTCGGCGGATGCGCGAGCCAGAGCACAAGCGGGGGCGCATGCGGGCGCGGTAGGCAGTGCCGAGGGGCCAGGGGCGCCGGGGTACGAGAAGGGGGAAATGGCGGATTTGGATCAGAAGAGGGAGATGCATGATAGGATGTTGGGGGATCGGGTGGGACAGAGTCCGGCGGAGCCGGAGGGGGAGGGGGAGGAGGTGAGGAGGAGGAAGTTGAGGCAGGATGAGGAGGTGGATGTGGTGGGGGCGGCGAGTAGGGGGTCTAAGGGGAGGGTTGTTTGATTGTTTTATTATTATTTAGTGTGGTTTTTGGTAGATTATAGGGAGGGAATAGGATAGGATAGGATAGGATGTATAGGTTAATGGTATGGAATGGAATGGTATGTAATGGGGTATCAGAAATCGATCAATAGCTATTAGCGTACAGACATATGGGTAAGGTGTTTGATTAGCCATCAGCATCATCGCCCTCGCCGATAGACACCTTCTTCAGTGATAGATCTTGTTTCAGATCGTGGATGCGCTTGGCCAGTTTGCCCTTCAGAATGGCGTTCTGCATCTTCTCCCACTTCGCCGTCTCGGCCCGGATCAGTGCCTCCAGTTCGGCAATCTCCTCGCGTTGCTGCTGCATCTGCCGCTGTTGCTCGAGTTGCTCATCGTCCAGCTCGTCTTCCGGTTCGTCGCCATCGTCGGATCCGTCACTCTCGTCACCGGATGATTCTGGCGCTGGCGTGGACGGCTTCGTTGCCATCGGTGTGCCCGCTTGGTATACCCCAGCATCTGATGGTGGCTCGGCTCCAGGTGCCGCGGCCGCAGCGCCTGCCTCGCCTTCGTCACCGGCAGCCAAGGCAGCCTCCATCTCGGCAGCGAGAGTGTCTTCAAAGTCATCGAACAGACCGCCGTCTTCCATGCCTTCCTCCATCTCACCCTCGGCATCCTGCTCATCATCGTATTCGTCTTCGTAGTCGTAATCTCCACTCTGGACCAGTCCCTCAGCCCGGTTCAATGCTGTCTTATCAACCAGCTCGTAGCGGATAGGTGCCACGGCAGCCTCGTCCTGGGCGATGAGATCCTCGACGGCCTTCTCGACCTGCTCGATAGTCCGCGTGCTGATCCGTTCCCGGAAACGGCGCTTTCTCACCCATCGCAACGGTGGTGTGAGACCATGTGGGTATTGCAGTGTCTTGTCATCTGGGTGTAGAATGTCCGAGGGGAGTGGGTAGTCCATGGCCTCTTGTTCATTGGCAACCGGGCCAAGGATTAGAAGCATCTGGCAGATATCCGCAGATTTGTACCACCCACGCCGGTCCCAACTCTTCATACCTTCGATGATACATGGCAAGTCGACCAGCGCTGCGGCGTATTGATGATCGCGGATCTTGAAGATGGCGCGTCGTCCCTCACGGGTGAGTGGCTTGAAAGAAATCTCCGAACGGTCGAATCGGCGTTCAGCAATGGCACGTTGTAGATATTCGCAATCCTCTCCGGGCAGCATGCGCAGAATGAATTGTTCTTCGATCGAGGGGTCGATTTCCGTGTCGGACGCCTCTGAGTCGTAGCCAACGCCCACCGGTCGGTTGGGGACCAGCCCCTTGTTCTTGATACGGAGCGACTGGACCCCGGGCTTCTTCGATGGGTTTAACTTCAGGCGTTTGGGTCCAGACGGTTGGGCTGTCGCGACCGTGGTAGATGGTTCCTGCAACGCGGGTCCCTCTGCTGGGCGCTTCTTCGAAGTCTTCTTCTTTTTCTTGAGTTTGTCATCCTCGGGCGGCGCTTCTGGTGCTGGTCTACGGGCGATCTTCAGCGTGAGTTTGCGTTGAGGAGTCTCTGTTGGCGGAGGGGGTGCAGCAGGCTGTCTCTGGGGTGTTTCCTCGGGCGCCTTCTTTTTCCCGAAGGTGAGCTTGAGGGATGGACGAGGTGTGTCCGACATGGCGAGAGGTGACCACCAAGTCGGTGGAGATGCGATGTAGAAGTGAGCGAAATAAGGTCAAAGCAGAGATGGTAGGAGGCTGGCAGATGGATGGGGTGAAGTGAAGCTTGCTGTGTTACAGCGGAGACGAAGACTCGAGGGCGGAGCCAGAAGGCGGAAGACCCCGAAAAGGCAGTAAGAGGCCCATCCATTCAGCCATTGATCCTCTCTTTGCTTCCTATTCATCTCCTAACACTCGACCTCAATAATAGCGACGCAGTGAGCCGCTCATATTCTTAGCTATATAATCCTCGTCTGCGAGCTGGAAAGCTCTTCTTGACGTCTCTATCGTTGTTCTTCATCTACAACCCCTACGCCAACATGTCTGGCTCCAATCTACACAACGCTCTTCTCCGCCCGCCAATAATCCAGATCCTGCGCGCAGCAGGCTTTCATGCGACGCGACCGTCCGTTTTAGACACCCTCGCTGACCTTACCGCTCAATACATCATGATCCTTGCTTCATCTACGACTGCCCATGCTGCAAACGCTCATCCACATGACCCTGTTCCGGTCCTCGAAGATATCTACCAAGCGCTGCAAGACGCAGGCGCGCTACGACCCCAGCTGCGAGAATGGGAGGAGGACTGGCAGGGAGAAGAAGATATGCGAGGCTTGGAAGGCTTTCTGTCGTGGTTCACTGGGCCGGCCAACCGGGAGATTCGACGGATTGCTGGATTTGTGCCTAGTGAGGGCGACATGGTCGATGCGGACGCTCTCGAGAAAGAAGACTTTTTGACGGCATTGAAGAAGAAACACAGCAAAACAGGCGAAGAGTCGAGATATGCGGGAACTGTACTTGGCAAGAGTGCCGACGAGCATCCTATTATCATCGAGGGTGGCGCGCCCAGTCTCCAAGACTGGGGTTCACAGATGCGGTCGCGGGCGCCGTACATGGCTGACAGCGATTCGTCTGGTGTCAGTAGTGCGCCGAGCAACTTGTCCGATGGGGAAGGCATGGATGTGTGATGAAACAGCAGACAGGTCGTTTGAAAGCGAGACCACTTCACAATACACTGCAACCAGGCTGTCGGTCGTCTGCAGCCCGACAAGCCAGACTCAAGACGCCTAGCTGCAACACAACGCCTACACCGTATCTGGCATTGGGACAGCTGGCCGGCCCAGCTTGATCACAATGACCAGCAGATCGTCCACCAGCTTGGGAGTATCAGCATATCACTTGCTATTACTACAGACGGGTTGTCACAATTCAGGGCCAGAGCAGGCTGGATTTATCATTATCCACCGAGTCAGAAAACAGCATCTACGCCTTGAAACATGTGCGAAGAAGGCAATCGGGACGAATGAGACATGGAAAGCCATCCTGCAAGCGAAATCATGTATCTACAGCATAACAGCGTATAAAGCCACATGAGTTAATGAGTTCGGCCAATAGGCCCGAATTGACCCCGACGTGCTTTTCCCGTAGGTTCCAATGCAAACGAGCTTCTTGGCTGCCGCGGAGATCTTCACCTCCAACTCAACTCCAGCTCTCCCCTTCCTACTCCACTCCAGCTTCAACACCCCAATCACCACCACCATCACCATGGTCTACGCCTTCACACTGCCCTCCACCTCCCACCTTTCCTTCCAGACCTTCCTAACCTCCAGCACCCACCCTTCTCTCCCCCAAGCAGCCACCACCGCCCGCCATGCTCTCCGACAAGCTCTCAAAGCACACAAGCGTTTACCCCGCGGTCCGCAGCAAGACGCCCACCTGCAGACTCTCCTCACCACCATAACCAGCTACCTCCCTTACCTCCTCGCTCTCTCCAACGGCCTCAGCAGCAAACCCGGCGACACATCTCCTACCGAAGAAATTGAAATCACCCTCCGCACCGAGATCACATCCGCCTGGCGCCCGACCCTCACCAACCCCACCACCACGCTCTCCCTCAAACAGCGGCCCACCACCACCCGCATCCAGGGACAGGGTCTCGACTTTGAGATAGCCTTTGTCCTCTCCACCCTCAGCTACGTGCTTAACTCCCTCGCCCGTATCGGCGTCACCCGCACCCTCTACGCATCCACGACCCCGACCCCAGAACAGCGCACCGCCGCCATCCAAACAGCCACCAAACACCTCCTGCAAGCCAGCGCCGTACACTCGCTCCTCGCTTCCTCGCCGTCTTTCGCAACCGCAGCCCATTCCATTTGCAATAACAACAAAAATGGAACCTCTACCCTCCCGGACCTCGACCCCGCCACGCAAGCGGCGCTCTCCTGTCTCGCCCTCGCAGAAGCAACCCTCCTCGCTGTGTTGAAGGACGATTCCTACGTCGCCGCCTGTATTCAGGCGCGCAATCCCAACGACAAGGACTGGATGGTCCGCGCGCCGGAGATCCCCAAGGTCCGCGCGCACCTCTTCGCGAGATTATGTATCCGGGCTGCGGAGTACGCGGAGCAAGCTGCTGCGGGGCTGGGATCTGTCCGGTCAGAGGGGCGGATGGGAATCGATGACGATCTATTAGGGTATACGCGGGTGCTGGGACGGGTTGCGCGGGCGAGAGCCTGTCGATTTTTCGGCGTGGATGCGGAGTTGTCCGGGAAGATCGGGGAGGGAATTGCATGGTTGAGAGCAGCGAAGGGGGCATTGGGGGTTAGGGGAGCTGGGACAGGTGGAGCGGAAGCGAAGGAGACGAGTACGAAGAGCCGGACCGGGTTGTCGAGGCTGAAGCAGGGTTGGATGGAGCGGCGGGAGGAGAGACGGATGGAGAAGGATGCGGGCAGTCGGGATCGGACGGAGAAGGGCGAGCTAGGACCGGGGGATAATGCAGGTCGGGAGGAGGAGAGTCGAGTGATTGAGATGCTGGAGACGAAGTGGGTGCGAATGAATGATACGGTTGGTGATATCCACGTCATTGGTCTAGGAAGAAGTTGCTAACTGCCGAGCACAGATTAATACCCAGCTGATCCCACCTTCTGCGGACCTGCTAGCAAACTTGCCCTCCGGTCGAGATATTCATTCCGCGCCAGCGCCGTACAAGATCCCCTCGCTGGATGAGGAGCAGCTGGTGCGCATGCGTGCGCCGCCGGCGGAGGACGATTTTGGACCGGGGAGTGATGTCGAGGATAGTGATGAAGAGGCGGCCAGTGTAGCGCGTGTGTATACGCCGGGAACAGTACCGGAGCGGAGTGACAGTGCCTATTACTGATCTTGAGCTTGTCTATACAATACCATACCATATGGCCTGCCTATGCACACATAGGTTCTACTCCGCATACATAGCACCAATCCAGACACAGCAACCCACTCACACTTAGCAACCCGTATAAACCAAGAGATAGAGTCCATACCCACCCCATCTCAAAACATATCATACAATCACAACTCCCCACAACCCAAACCCAAACCCAGACGAAGTCATAAGTAAAAGTAGGAAAGAAAAACCACAATGCATATATTGTATATCACATAACATAACACAGAAACCGATTCAACCCGATCCCCCCAACCTCAAATCTAAGCAGACTTATTTCCCTCCCCAGCAAAGTAATTCTTCTCCTGGAACAAGTAACCCTTAATCTTGCGCTCGCCCAGCAACTCAAAGTACTTCTCTGTATCCCCAGAAACAAACACACATTAGCAACCCATCTTCACCATAGCCAACCTCATCCTTTAATTAAAAAGGAAGGAAGGAAAAAGGTATAAACTCACCCCTCAAAACCCCACACTTCTCCAAATGATTCACACCCTCACGAGCATAACACTTGCCCAATTCCTCTCCGACCAGACGAGACATCATACTGCGGACCCATTGTTCACGGATAATGGCGTCGCGGGCGTTGTGGACAGCGACGTTGTCTTCGAAGTCGACGCCCTCGTAGGTGGGCGGCACCGTGGGCTTTTTGGCCAGGAAGGAGGCGGATTCCGGGGTGGGCATTTTCGATTATTTCTCTTCTTTTTGTTGGTTTTGAGATTCGGATAGTAGGTCGGAGGGAGGGAGGGAGAGAGAGGTGATATTCGGAGGTCGAGTTGTATTCAAGTTCGATTCCGGAGGTCGCGAGAGTAACAATTGCGGTGGTTTGATTGGTTGGGGGGTGTGGGCGGTCGGATGTGCTGCATTGGTCACGTGCGATGATGATTATTAGTAAGCGGGTTGTGAGTGGGTGGTTGTGCACTGCGATTACGGTTGTATACTTGTTTGTTAGGGATTATGATTCAGTGAGAGTACAGTAAAAGGTCATAGATGAGCTACTAAGTCTAGGTAACTATCGCTAACACCAAACGCCTCGCCAAGTACACAAATCAGCAAACATCACACCCATCCATACGCCGTCACAGGTCATTATTAGTCCGCATTTTACATGGTCATTGCTCAGACCAGTCATCATCTGCAGTAAACATAAAGCAAATGTCGTATCCAGCAACGGACTATTCAACTTGCTGCTCCTCGCCAGGGAAAAGCTTCTCGTAAAGGCCGTTCAACTTGTCCTTCATCCGCTCCCACCATGTCAGGTTCAGCTGCTTGCTGATCTCACGGTACTGGTACATCTCGGCCCAGCAGTCGCGTCCATACTGGCACCCGGCCATGTTGACCAGGAAGTCTCTTTCATCTTCCTGGTAGTGGACATTCGGATCATTCTCGTCTCCACATGCCCCCTGGGGGTACGAGTTGATATATCGCTGGGGAAGGAAGCCAACGTGGCTGCGAACCCACGGCTGCGTTGCGTAGAGGTACTCCATCGCATCCTGCTCCTTGTGCTCCCATTCCATATGTTTCTGTTCATACATGACTGGGTCCCACCACGCGTCCAGCAGGCGGTCGGCCCAGAGGGAGCGCCGAATGAAGAAAGAGCCGAGGTTGAAGCCCCCACAGTCCTGCGACAATAGCATATGTACCGATGATGGATCCCCGTCTCCGTTTGGCGATCGAGACACCTCGTCCAGATAAGCGTCGTCCGGCGGATGACTGATATTCAACGGGTTGTAGACATTGATGTCCCGGTAGATAATTTCATCCAAGCGGTCGAATATATGGTCCTGTAACGAGTAAGAGTATTCCATAATCCAAGTGCTGAGGTCCAACCACCAAAACCTGCACATGTCAGTGACGCTCATCAAACAAATACTGCAAACATACCATTCAGCATCGGGATGCTTTCGCATTGTCTCCCGAATAAGGTCCACCTTCTCCCAGCTCTCGCGCCATTCGTGCGAATACCGCTTCTTCGCCAACATGTTGACGGTTTCCAATTCGTAGCCCCATCGCTCAACATAATTCTTCTTGTTCCACACGCTGTTGCGCTCGATCGCCCATTCGCGCGCTCCCTTCCACTCCATCACGCCGCCCTCTATGTTAGATTCTAGTATGATCACGAACTTGCGCCCACCGCCTAGCGGAGAGCGACGATACTTCTGAAGAAGTGCTGCAATTGATTAGCCACCTACAGGCTTCATTCCACACGTATGCGATTCACTTACACGCTCCGAAAAACATATAGCCCAACAAAAGAAAGATCAGTGCCACGAGCAAGCGCGATCGTCTGCGCCGCAGAACCGACCTGCCAAATCCCAAGCGCCAGCCCGTAGCTGGGGAGAGCGGCCGCCCCCGGCCAAACTCATCCTTATCAACATAGCCATTCGGAGACCCCGAGCCTAGACGAAAGCGCGGCAGAGTGGCAGAGAGCTGGCGTCTTGAGCGCGAGAAGAACCCGCTGTTCTTCGTCGAGAAAGACGGGTAGCCTCGTACCTCGTCGCTCTTCGCTTTGGCGGCGGCCCAGGAGATGCCGCTGGCACCTATAGGATTTGGCGACAGAAAGCCATTGTGAGGCGTCGTCGAGCCACTGGGCGAGGTGAGTCCAGGACTAGACCATCCTGCTCCCGCGGGGTGGGGAGAGGGTGATCGCGACAACGACATGAGCGGGGAGTCGGGACCGACAGGGATGCCGGCAGGAAGGGCAATGGCGGGCGAGCACGACGGCCCGCGGAGCAGCCACAGGCGGGCGTGATTGGGGAGTTCGTGCTCGGCAGAGGGCCGCGGTGGAGGAGGTCAATGGGATATGTCTTTCTTTGAAACAGGCGCCCGCAACTTGGGGGGAAACAAGAGCGCAGTAGAAAGGAAAAGGATGAGGGTTTGGAGCGGAGGTGTAGGAGATACGTTAGTGAAGTAACAGATCGCTATTGAACCAGAAAAATCAAAGAAAGCTAGAAATTAAAGTAAAATTACTCTTCGGTTCAGGAGTCACCAGCTCGAAACGACGGAAGAGGAATAGTATGACATGGTCGTTGATAAAAACTGGATCACCAAGTCGCCAAAAAAGGCCGAAACAATAATCCAGGAACAGAGGAACCCATCCGCGAACGGGTCTGTCCGCTTTCGTTTGGGGACTTTTCTCTTTGAGGGCCACTTGTCAGGTTAACGGTACAGTTCCAAGGGCGCGCTAGGGGGTGCCCCGGAGAACTGGTTGAAGAATGAAAGGAATGGGAGGGATCCAAGGGTCAACAACCCCCATGAGGCAGCGATGAGGGCGCGCAACTCCCTCCTCTCCCTACTCCCCTTATCATCAAGTAAGACATTCCGCGCGAGGACCATGGATAGAACCCGAGCCCTGGCTATCAGGATGACCACCCAATGCGTCGGACATTGTCATCTCGTGTGTGTGAGAGAATGAGGTGCTCCGAGAGAGCATCATTCGTTGGTGGTGGGGAGGAAGGAGATTAAACTGCAAAAAGCAGATTAATTTAATTAAATCCCAGCAACAGCCCCGCCCCCTCGCTTGAGCTTCTCGCGCAGACGCCGAAACGAACGGTTGAAGCCTGGCAATTTGTTGAGAGGAGCTGCTCATTTCGAAGGTTACTTGCGAGTAGGTTGTGAGTTGGCCACCCTGGCTCGAGAGACGGTTGTCTCACATCCGTCAGACCCCCTAATGCGACAAAGAAGCACCTAACGGTGGAACACATTCAAGCTATGTTCCAGTTCGGAGAAGATGGAAGAACAGCTAGAAATCCGAGAGACCAGACTAGCAGGAAGAAACTAATCTCCAAGATCCACATGGAAAAAGAGTAGGACCCACTCGGTCTTTCAACTTTAGCGGTCAGGGTCACATGTGGTGCTGGTGTTGCTTTGGCTTCCTTCGTGGCTTTTCGACGCATTGGGGAACCTCCCGATTTCATGATTCGTGATCTTTGACACTATCCAGATAATGTGTTTCTTGAACCTGTTGGATCTGCCTGCTTCCGGCGTCGCTTATTCAATGTGAATAGATACCACCTTGCGAACCAGGGAACTGCCCTTCGTATCGTTGCCGAGAGGTACAGACTTTACGGACCCAGTTGATTCCAGACCCTGAGGGTCGCTGCTAGTGTCTTCGCATGTAGTTTCTAAATATTATACGAGCTACAGTCTATAAACAAATGTATTTTGAGAACTTAAAGGCCTGCTGTTTTTGGCTGTCAATTTGCCGCCACTGATGCAAACCCTTGTGTCCATGCTTCCTTCACTCATCTACAAGCAACTAGGCCCTCAGTCACCAATACTAACCTCCAGCGATACCTTACTATAACATATTATCCTGCTGTTTGACAAGGGTGCTGTAAATGACTGCTTTATGAGGTCTTACTATGAATGGATGCTCTCTACACAGAAGCTGTTTATTCGTCTTCTTTTATATCTGCCGTACTTTACATCTAATGATTGAATTTAGATATAATTATTATTGATGGCTTCTTGTTCTGCAAAGAAGATTGCCCTAAAGGTACACTGCTCTCCTCACTCAGATTGAGCAAAACCAGTTCTTGTAAGTTACATTATCTTCTCTTTTCCGGTGAGTTCTCTCTATAATCCAGAGCCGACAGATCCATGGTGTCTTTGGAAGATTCTCGAGGGGAACCCGAATATATCATGATATATCGATTCCGCTTTTCTTCACTTTCTTAGACTAGTTAGTTAGTTACTCAATGTGCAACGCAGTAAAAATCAAAAGATGGCTCCCCGATACTGAATGCAAGAGCCGTTCAAACATCCCCAAGAAAGTATTCACTGACTAATATGTAAGAATAAAACTCTCAAAAAGATTGGGAAGTAAATGATTCGCCAAATAATTCGAGTATAGATGATCCTTTTATCGCCGCATGACTTTACACCCATAGCCATTATGACAGCGTGTGTACTTAGTCGACCATATAGCTAACCTATACCAACCGTGTAAATAGAAAGAGTCCACTCTCGGTGCTACTAAAGATCAAATGTAGGCACAACTCGCCCATTCATAGAACTCACACTATTTTTGCAGCTTTACTACAAATCATCCTCTAACCATCCTAGATCTTAAAGATTGGAATGTTCAAATTGGCTTCCTCCACAATCCTCTGGGCGAGCCACATTGCATTATCATTGAAAATTCACCTTTGAATTTATAAGGAGGTCCAAAGAATATCCAAGTCATACATTACTTCTCATACTCAATCCGACCAGTATCACAAACACGTATATACTCCCCGAAAACATCGTCAACCTTGTGCTTGTTCTCAGCCCACATATATCCCTGCAGGGCCTTCTCTTCTCAGAGCATTTGATGACCAGGTTGACATACAAAGACCAAAATACATACGAATCACAAATCTCTAAGCGAATCCCACTCAAGCCCTTCTCTCCTCATCAATCTCCCTGCCCATAGTGCCTACTGAAGGTTACATGCGCTCGCCAATCGCCCTCCGACGATTCATTTCCTCATTTAGTCTCAGCTGCATCTGCAGATCTTGTTGGTCGGCATCACCACTAGGAGCTGGGAAATGCTCTGGGAATTCCATTTCACACTGCTCGTGGAGACACTGCACTTGGGTGGTGTTACAGCCTTGCGAGTAGAAAAGGCGTGAGATGGCTTCTTTCATCTGCTCGATCTGGGCGATGAAACATGAACACTGTGTATGGGTCCATCCTTGGGAGTACAAGAAGTCGTAGAGTTTCTTATCGTAGGGTGTCAGGTTCGACGGCTCGATGGCGTGAGGCTCATCTGCATTCGATGTTGCGTTGAGAGCAGTGGGGGGGAGTTTGGCTAGTACTAGAGAGAGGAGTCTTTGCATTTGTGTCTGACATGGTTTGGCCGCTTTGTGAACTGTAGGAATTGAACTGAAATAGGATTCAAGTTGGATAGGCTGCCGAAATACTGAGTGATGATCAAGACGATGTATAATGAATGGAGGTGGTGGCGTTGCCTTTATCCGCTCAGATATCCTTGCACTTTACCCTTGCACTAACTAGCACAACGCTTACAGTAATTTACTAGTAGAATTCGTATCGTACGGAGTATGACCACTTGGCTTTGGCAAAGTTATATTTAGAGAAGTATATGGTGTAACACCGAGTACTCTGATTGATGCGCCTTAGCTACATCATATTGCTCTGTCAAGCCCTACAGTAGATGACTATTCCCTGCCCAAGTCTAGGAACAAACAGTAACGGCAGTGAAGACTGAGTGGCTGCAAGCATTATTCGTATGTGTGCACTAGTGATAGCAAAGTCAATTTCCATCAAAGAGTCATTGTAAGAAAAAAAAAAAAAAAAAAAAAGAAAAAGTTCAAGCCTAGATTATACATACCCGGTGTGGATAACAGCTGGTACGGCGTAATACTCCCTTTACACACAAGAAGCAATCCTGAAGAGTAGAAGAGCAAAACTAACCTCCGTATTGCGAGTTAGAACGCTTTTACGGTAACCGCTTCGGTTGCAACTTACGCCAAACTGATAAGTCGGGACTCTGGCATCGCTCTCATCGGTACGAAGGTGAACAGCATTAGACTCTCAACATCTGCTTCTGAAGAGACGCAATCCTGCGGCGCTTCTACTGCTGGTATTGCGGATGCGATGACTGTGGCTGATAGAAATGCGGACACATAAGATAGTTTCATTTTCAATGGAACCGTGGGTATTAACCAAGGAGAATGGGAATTCTCGATCTTTCGGTGACATATGTGATTGCTTCAGGAATAGTTGTTGATAGTCAGTTCATGTGGCCATGTCGTGCCCTTTTATGGTGCCTCTGAGCAGGTGACCGAGACTACCTATTCTCAACCTGTGATTGAACGTAGAATTCATCCTAGCAAGGCGCCATATCTCAGGTGATGGGACCACTGGTGTCAATCCTTGGTGTCTCTACTATAGCTGCATGGAACGTTCTGCATGTGAAAGGTCCTATATACGGAGTGACTGAGAACTTTGAAATGACCTTCCAACTGGAGTATAGATTATTTGCAGCTCAGTGCACCGTCATTGCCGCCCTGATGCTGTTACAAACCTACGTCAACATCTTTTAAAAGCACTGGGTATCTAAAATGTTCGAGATGGGTGAGCTAACGTGCTAAGGCAAGTAGATAGGACGAGGATTGATCAAGTGTAGACCTATCATATAAATGCCATATTAACATATAGATCTACTAGTAGTTGATAAAGGCGCCTCTGAATCTTGACTGGCTACTCATCATGTGAACAATGCGTTATGGAACATTGTCCAGACAAAACAGATATTCAAAGCAGCGTGATACACTAGAGAGCAACCGGAACGGGAATGTCTCACAGGAAGCAATTATCTGGTGTCAGACAGGAAGAAAATAGGCGGGGCTAGGATACGGTGAATCAATCAGAGCCATGTGCTCCAGTCTATTGACTCCCCTAATCCTGGAACAGTACCAGGCGCCACTTCAAACGAATAAACGAATAGCAAGGACTGATATACATTGTCACTTGGGGCCTTCGTTCCTAGTCACTTATCGCCTGGACTCGTTCTCTCTAATAGCTACAACCCATACACAACAAATGAACCTAGCCTCTACCCTATGGATCCATTCTCAAAGAAATGCATTGACTGTCTGATCATCTTGCCACTTTTCACATCCCTCAGCCACCACAGGGCAAGTATCGACCTACCAAAGGTGGCTAGTGGGGTCACAGGGCTTCTTGCAAAATGCCTACATGTAAAGCACTATCATAGTGCCACAAGGTAGCACAATGTCCGCACTCGTTACTGCAGTTAGCGTTGCATTTGTTGATTCAAGCTTTGCCTGAGAAGTAAAATGAACAGGTCTGTAGGTGCCAGGCCATGATCAGGATTAAACCTTGAGGATAGAAGCAATTATCCATGTAGTGTATGACTAGTACATACTTGTCCCACCTAATAACTATACAAAAGTTTGACTCGTGTGACCTGAGCGTACACTCATGTACGTGATTGTAGCGCCGATATAGTAACTCATAGGTCCTGAAAACTAATAAACCTGTTACATATTACTGCAGTCAGAGTGACATTGGATAGATCCAGGCCAGGGTTCAACAAGAATAAGAACTGGTGATTCAGTGCATCTGATCAAGACTTATTTCTCTCTCAAGTTACCCTCATTCAGTGTGCTCCCTTCATACGAATCCACGAAAATCAGGTGCAAAATGAGACTCTGGACGAACAATATCGTTGCCCTTCTGTTCATGGGAGCTGCTGCGGCTACCGGTATTGGACCTTGCTATAACCAGTAGGTGCTCTTTCTGTCTTCATTCCAGACATCTTGTTTGATCACTTCGAAGTGCATCCTAAGTTTGTTGTAGCGCAGATCCTCAACACAATATCGGCAACTACTGTTATTGTCAAGGAGATGGTGTGTCTTTTCACGTCTCTCGCTCTTTACTCTACCATCCCTGGGAGACTCGGCTTAACTTATCTCTTCTATATCACATATCAGGTGTCTGTTACTTCGATGGCATACATAACTCATGCGACCCTCCTGGGAATGCTATTCCTGGCGGTTGTCCAAAGAATATGATACGCAGTGGCCTACGCCTGGGGACAGAAGGATGAGATGGAAAGGCGGATTGGATTTCGCTATTGTGCCTCCTAGGGATAAAGTACAGACTGACTAAAATAAAGAATATCTTAGCCTGGCAGAGTTTGAAGTACATAGCAAAGACCTGTCTCAAATACAAATGCTCTCTTCTAAATATCAGAGCACGCGGGTGCTATCTGATTCTAGCAAAGTAGCAGCAGCTTTTTATTTACAACTTTTCCCTGAGCAAGGGGATAATAATGTACAAAGGTATCATCGACACTGTGTAGGACCATGGCACTATGTTCATGTATTCTATAGTGGTCCGTCTCAGACGTATCCAGGTGAGCGGGTAATAGATCGTGGTATCCATTGATAAATATCCATGCAATTGATGATCGTACATGCGTTGACGAGAGTAGTCTTTTTTCCTTTTTTGTCCCCCTCCAGACCCTATCTTATCCAGATCATTATGTATATGCACAAACGCCAAAATCAATACTGAGCTACCCCATTTGTTCCCCCAAGACCAAACGAAGATGCAACCCATACATAAGAGATACATACAACTCCAAACCACACCAGGGACATTACACCATACCTCATAGCCATTTCCAACTCAGTCAGCGAACCAAGTGCCACCCTATCGACACCTACTTCTTCCCATGCGGTATTTTCCGCGCAGGTTGTCGGTTGGCAGCCTTCTCCTTGGGCATCAAGACTTTGCGCACGGTGAAGCCTTTCTCCTCATCGGGACGTGAGCGAGCACTTTCTCCATAGTAAAATTCGCACGCGAACTTCAAAAACTTGTTCCGATGCTGATAGACGGTAATGACATCGCCGGTATACAGTTTGCCGAAATGGAAGCCTTCTCCGCCATTGTCGTTCTCGGGCCCACGCCGCAGCTCAGTCCCATTGACCCAGATACACTTTCGGGTTTTGGTCGAGAGAATAGCCATCACGCCGGGGACTGTCATCCAATCGTGTCCAGCGGCAATCTTGGTTTCGATGGCTGGTGCCCAAAAGGTAACTTCCAATGCATACGCAGGTACCCGTGTATCCATTGGCTCGGGATAGCATATGGTTGCTTGGGGGCCGCGGCCCCAGGATGTCATCCGAGCTTCCAGCGGAATAGTGAGCTCAAAGATGGACCCGGGGAGCGTGGTCAGCTTTCCAAGGAGGGGGCGTGATGTGCTAAGATGCGTCACGGTATTGAGAATTGGGCCTGGAGTCTGATCGGCCGCAGGCTGTAGGGAAGGCTCACTGTCTTCCCTTTTCGGCAAGTCAGGAAGTCGCTGTCCGGTTTTGGCATCGATAGTATTCGCCAACTCAATGTCGAACACCTCTTCAGGAGCAGCGTCGGGCTCAGCATGCCCATCGTTGGTCTTTCCCGTTGTCGTTTCGGGACTAGAACGCTCACTGGCAGTATCGGGTATGGGGAGTTCAATCCGCCGGTTGAATTTTGAGGCCTTCGGGGTTTCATCATCGATAGTGGTCTGCGGGGGCGCCTCTGGGGCCTTGTCCTTCGGGACTTCTGCGGCCACGCTAATTTGCGGCCCCGGCACCTCGACGTGACGGGGAATGTTGTTCAAGCCAGGGTGCGACGAGTTCATGTTCAGCTGCCCAACAAGGTTCTCAGCTCCCATTAAGCTAGGTGCAGACCCCGCGACGGGGTTTTCCGGCAGGGAGAGGATGGAGTTCAGGCTGTTGCCGTCGCTGATTATCGACTCACCAGTGGAAGAAACGAAGTCATGGAGGCCAAAGTCGTCGCCCTCAAATGCATCAACCTTGTCGCCCAACGCGTGAGAACTGCGAAGTATCGATGGCGTAATCTCACCGAAAAGTCGTTTTGGAGTTGACTGGGAAACTGGTTGAAGAGCCGAGAAACTGTCGAAACTGGGCAGCGATGGATAGCGAATTTCCTCCGGCGGATATTCAAGCTTGATTTTCTTGGCCTGGGCCAATTCGTCGTCCTCCTCAGCCGCGACTTCTGCTGCCGGCTTATCATTCAAAGACAGCTGAGATGCGTCTATTTCGTCCTCGAGATCCTCGCCTATGTCAGAAAGCTCATCCGGGACGCCCAGAAACAAGTCCTCATCATCATAATCGTCAATGTCCGCAACTCCTGCAATCCACGGGTGCCTAAAACATTCTCGTTCGTTCGGGCGAGACTGGGGGTCACGGTTTAAAAGTCGAGCGACAAAATCTATTCCATCCTCTGAGACGCCTGCCTTGCGGAGTTCACTATAATCCGCATCCTCAGTCATGATGATTCGCAGCATCTGAGCACCACGATCATCTCCTCGAGGAGCGAAAGGAGGGACACCCGAAAGAAGATGGAAGAGAACGGCTCCAAGCGACCACATGTCAACAGATTGATCGTAAGGGGATGTTTTTGGAGGCCTAATGGTCAGTATGGTTTCGGCAGGGCATATGTTACCAGGAACTTACGGATCACCCAGCCTGCGCCGTTTCCGAACCTCACCACGTCGGTAAGTGTCATACTCGGGGTAGACTTCCGGGGCGCAGTACAGCAATGTGCCACAAAAGGTCCTCAAAAAGGTCTCTTCCTGAACTACTTTTGAAAGACCAAAGTCTGACAATTTCACTCGGAGGGGATCAAGAGACGAAATCAAGATATTGTCTGGCTTGATATCTCGATGCGTGATCTTCCGTTTATGTAGATAGTGGAGTGCATGCAAAATCTGTCGCGCCATGGTCCTAACCTGGGCCTCTGCGATCCTGCCATGCGACTGCAAGTAAGTGGACAGCTCTCCACCGGGAACATACTCCATGATGATGTATATCCATCTGTCATGCTCGTGATGGTCGACGTATTGAACAATATTGGGCTAAAAGGCATTGTTATAAGTAGGAGCGTCAGAAATTTCATTTGAGGTTACTCACGTGTTTCAGATCTTTCATGATCTGCATTTCATTGTCAACTTTCTTGTCGAGTATGCCATTTTTCATCCAGCGGCGCTTGTCGAGTTCTTTGGCTGCATATACAGAACCATGCTGCTTCGTGGCGAGTTTGTAGACCGTTGCAAAGGCTCCCTTGCCTATTTGCCCCGTCACGTTGTAAATCGATCCTCCAGACCAGTGCATGCCGTACGTATTAGGTGAAGCGATCTGCAGAGCGGGCGCGGGAGTAGTACGAGCTCTGGGTTGCGCTGCACCTGCTCTTTGCGTCTCGATCTTTTCGAAGTAGCGAAGCATATTTTCGGTGTACTGCATGACAAAACCTTCCCGGGACGGCAGGCGCACAATGAATCTGACTTCCTCCGAAGACTGCCCCTCACCATTTGGCACCTGAATGACGGAACCATTGACTAGCATGCGGCTCTTCTCACGTTGAATCTTGCGAAGACGGCAGTTGTCTACGATCGTTCCATTGGTGGAGGTGTCCTCCAGCATTATGATCCCATCTTGCGTAAGATAGATGCGGAAGTGCGTGTTCGAAATACGTTTCGAGTTAGCATCGGCAATGAGAAGATCGCAGCGAGCCCTGTTCCGTCCGAAGCAAAAGCCCGTGTTTGCGTCATACACATCCGATGACAGTCTAAGAGCGAAGTCCAAAGCTGCTGTATCTGAACATTCATATTCTAGCGCATCCCTTTGTAGGATGTGCTGCGGGGCGTGGCGCGCAGTTGCGGCTACAGCATCATGGGCTGCAGGTGAATTTGGGTGTAAGATACAAACAATGTCCGTCAGATCATCCTCGTGGAGGGCCGAATTGTTGTAGCCCATGCGGCGAGGGTCCGTGCATGGCTGAGTGGACTCCTGGGTCGCCTCCATCTGCACGGATATTGATGATGACGTCGAGGGCTGACAGGAACAGTGCGACTGCCGGGAAAGGTATGAATATAGTAGAGAAAGACAGAAAAATGCAAAAGCAGACTATATGACAAGACAAACACTGAAGGGTATATGTGCGGGACTCAAGTAGAGAAATGGGAATAGAACTTTGCGTAGCCAAGGCGATGATCAACAGGACTCCATATCATAGACCTATTGGGGGTATAAGCCTTGCTAGCATTAAAGTTGATTGCTTGTATGCTAGAAAATTTTTGCAGCGATGCAGGAAGGTATGAATGACCTTACCTGGCGAGCAACCAAACGACAGCACCAGCCCGCGCGATGTTCCAACAACCTTAGAGAGCGCACCCCGAGATCACACCCAGCTTATCCAAGGCCTGGTGTATGCGATGATAAACTGGCAGAAACGAGTCCAGTAGATGTACCAAACAAGACTTTATACAGTGTGCCTTCCAGCGATAGGCAGCGAGGTCTCAAAGTATCTCAGTCGTGATGGATAGCTCCAGGCTTGAAAGCCAACCAGATTGGGTCCTAAACTGCTCAGGAATTCGTAGTGTTGGACCATTGAAGCAAGGAGCAAAAAGGGAATCCGTCGAAGGGGTTTTGTGAGGGACACCGGGCGTATTTCTATAGCAGGTTCCTGGTATTAGTCAAGGATGCCCATGTAACTAACAACAGTGCACAGAGAAACGGAAAGTTAGACTCACACAGTTAGCAAAGTCTCCACCAACTATCTACTGCATTGCCAGGCTCAAGAGATGCAATAGAGGGAGCATGAAAGGTGGAGCCAGAGACGGAGACGAGACAAGAGACCGTCCGACAGGAGTCGTCGTCCGAGAAACATGCAGCAGCAAGGCTGGGGTGATAAACCGCAGCTCTTTAATTTGAAAGTCCAGCAGAGCCCCAGGCACCAACAAGGCAGAACCCCGGATGGCCGCACCTGAGCCAATAAGAGTGCGCCTTGCATAGGCGGGCGGGACACACCGCATCTACCGATTCCGTGGATCCAACGCGTGACACTCGACTTCAGATCGATTTACTTCCTAGCAGTACAGATCGTTCTATCCTATATCCACTAGTGCAATTATCCAACGACTTCCTTATAATTTACTTCAGTCAGTACTACGCTCAATTCTCTTGCTCAAAGCTGCCTCAAACACCTGCTCGAGTCGAGAGAGGGACTCCTCGGATACCTCTGCAGTCATGTTAGATCAATGTGGGAGAGTAGTTCGCATGGCAAAGGAATACTTACGGTAGTGGACGACGATGCGACTACCCCCAAGCTTCAAACCCTTTTCACGTCCAATCTCGGCCAGATCGTCAGGCCCCAATCCCGACCCCTCAACGTCCAACCACACCATGTTGGTCTCTACGGGGTGGGATAGCTTGCCTCCCCGGCTAGTCCACATATCGGCAACCTTCTTTGCTCTTTGGTGAGACCCTAGAAGCTTCCCTTGCTGTCCGTTGGGGTCGGGTCCAAATGTCTCCTCAACTGCGACGCGGGCCGCCGCAGAGATGACTCCAGCTTGACGGACACCACCACCGATGGACTTGCGAAACCATCGAGCTTTCTTGATGAACTCGTTCGAGCCAACAATAATACTTCCAATGGGAGCACCTAGGCCCTTCGAGAAACATAGGCTTACGCTGTCGAACAAAGTAGTGTAGTCAGGCAAACTACCGGCACCGGACGCCACTGCTTCCCAAAGTCTCGCACCATCCAGATGGACCTTGATGTTATTTTGATGAGCCCATTCAGTGATGCGCCGAGCCTCAGAAATTGGCATAACCAGTCCATCCAACGTGTTCTCAAGACTGATGAGCTTCGTAGGACAGTAGTGGATGTTATCACTGAGTACCGCATGTTTCTTGATATCCTCCAGAGTAAGGTGGACACCATTCTTCGGGATAATGGGCATGACCGTGGCGCCCGTAAGGGAGCTTACTCCACCAGCCTCGTAGCAGATGATATGGGACCGGTGATCGCAAAGGACAGAATACGGAGGTTCCTTTAGGTGAGTGCGGATGGCAACCTGGTTGCCCATTGTACCGGACATGACTAAGAGAGCGCTCTCATGTCGAGTGCGCTCTGCCACATAAGCTTCAAGATCATTTGTCACTGGATCTTCACCGAAGACATCGTCAAGAAGTGTGGTCTGGCAGATAGCCTCCAGCATTGCCGGAGTTGGCTTGGTCATTGTATCACCTTACGACATATGATTCTCAGCAAAAGTGCACATCACAATGGCAGCATTCTTCTGCTATGAGTCATACTCACTTCTCAGGTCAAACTCAGCTGCACCGGCACCCTGCCACGTGCTGGGTCTGCTCCCATTGGAAGCTGTTGATACGCTAGCCATGGCGATCCTGGAACGGTATGCGAATCTTGAAATTGGGAGGGATGGCCTTAGAGGAAACAAGGATCGAAGAGAATAGCGGGCCAAGGATCCCATCGAGCCTCAAAACTGGAATGATGACAGGGCTGAAGCAAAAGCAAGTAGGCAGCGGCAACAATTTGGCTGTTAATCTAACGGGCATGCGGGGGACATTCCGAGGGGAAGCAAAAAGTGACTAATCACCGATAGGAACAATGGAGGAGATTCTCCGGAATGATGTGATTCGACAATGAGATGGACCCCGGCGGTGCATGGTTTATACTGGATTCGGCCTAGTTTCTTTTTCAGCACATAATTTATTGGAGTATATGCGCTTCTCTAGTAGTAGACTTATAACGTCTTGAGCACCACTACAGCTTGATGGATGCGGCTGGGACTATAAACTTAGATGCTAACAAACATATTGCTCAGCAATTTGCATCGTCCTCCAGTTCTAATATCTCTGACGTCTCCACAAGCAGACCTTACAGTTCCATTCACCCGTTTGCAAACTTCAGTAAAACTTCACCAAGCCATGTTCCACTCCAACATCTTCTGCACAGGCGAAGGATCTTAGAGAGACTTTGATCCATCCACTTAATTCGGGGTGCGATGACATACTACGCGCCCATTGTAGAAGAATCATATGAACTATGACAAGGCTAACCGAAAACCCCGCATATCAAGACTACTACTAGTTTGTTTTCAGCAGGTGAAAAATTTTATAGTTCATACTCTCCTGGAAATTTAACTTCTCCGATGGGGGATGTCCGAGCAAACTTGTGATCTGACCAAGGCGGGGTTAGAAATAACGAGCAGGAGAGGGATAGAAACAAGGAATCGTAAGAGTCAGGATGTGACAGGTGTTTTTGGTAGATATCTGGCAGCCTGCATGTAGGTAGTAGTTAGTTTAGCATTAAGAAATAAACAGGCGTTTTAGTACAGAAGTTGATTGGAAGCCCTGTTTAGAGTCTCACCTGCATATCTGGCTGTAACGGGAGAAAAGGCCAGTGCTCTCCTCCATACACTAAGTCATTAATAGCATAAGGGCATGTATTGAGGTGAACCTATTGCATGATCGAGTTATCAGTCATTGGAGTCTCTGTACATATGATAGAAATGTATATTTGGTAGCAATGTCAAGAGTTTAGACATTGAAGTAGCTGAAGCTATAGTTGGCTGCTCAGGAGAAGCCATCTCGGTAAGTAACATACGTAAAAGATACGCGGAGGGGAGCGGAAGCCGGGCCCAGCCACTGAAGGAGAAACACGGAGGGCCGGGTATGACGACAGTGAAACGCGTGCGGCCCTTATCGATGGCCTAATCGGGAATGGTCGACCCGCCAACGTGTCTCCATTGACGGCTGAGTCAGCAGTCGAGATCCCTCTGGACTTTTGCGGGCAGGTTTGCGCCCTGACTTTGGTTCATCTCGCAACTTCACGCGGGCTCACGGCCATACGCTCTTTCACGGCCTGAGTTCCAACGTGCTTCCCCCTCATGTCCACCGTCATGGATCTCTCTCGGCTTACCCGCCCGGCAATCCTCTGCCAATGCTCGCGATGCTCGAGTTCGCTAGCTGCGCTCGAGAACGAGTGGGCTAAACTCTCGAATTCTTACTCCATAGTGGCTGGGTGGCTGAGCGTCGAGCTGCATCGCATTTCCATCTCCTCGGAGAAGAAGCAAATTCCGCAATCATCAGAGCTGAACACCCTACGAGGCCGGATCCTCCAGGAAATCTCCTGTAAGCTCTGTCAACAGAAGCTGGGCGTGCTATGCTCTCTAGACAATGGGTAAGTGGGCATCATTCTTGTTTCACGCTTCTCAGCTAACACAGAAATAGCCCGAATATCTTCTGGAAGTTATCGAAGGTGTCGTTTAGGGAAATTGTTACCATGCGCACAGTGGAGCCCGTATTTAAGGATGGATCGCTCGAACGCATTCTATGTCCGACTCCCCCCTCCCGACAAGACCGAACCCCAGTCCATGCCGGGGCCCTGGTACCCACTACATCGACGGAGCTAGACCCCTATAACTTGTCTATGGAACAACAGATCCAGCACCAAGGGCTGAGTCTCGATCACATTACAAGTTCCGTCAGCAACCTTCACGATACCATGTCCGAGTTGAAGAACGCATTCACCGCTCTGCGCATCGAATTGAACGGCCCAGGTCGATTCACATCCGATATAGGCACCCCTGCTAGCAAGGACATGATGATCGCAACAGTATTGAAGGAACTCAGATCCAAAGCCGATGAAATCGAAAGACTGAAGCTCGAAAACGAAGCACTGAAGCTGAAGAACCGTTACGCGGAAGAGCAAACCCTCAAACAAGTACAACCGCCACCGCCACAACCCTTATATGCCGACACAACAATACTCGCAGAAGTACGAAGCCCAGGCTTACTACAAGGAAGTCGGAAGCGGCCCTGGCCAGACTCATTTCCGAGCGGACGCACCCAACCGATAGGAGATTCGTTCGACGAAGACTCTTCGGACAGCATCGCAGACTTCTCCTTAGAAGACGCAAGTCTACCTCCAGTCAAAATCCCACTGAAAGACTCCACATCCATGTCCACAACAGACAAAACAACCCACGAACCCACACCATCAGGCTCTCCCAAACTGCACATCGAATTAAACTCGCAACGACAACAACGACAACAACAGCAGCAACAAACCCCTAACCATGATAACGACCTTAACAACCACCACGACAACAGCAACAACCTCGCCACCTCTCACCGAGAAGCCATAGTAAAACGTCCGCGCCTATCCCAGTCAACAGACAAACCCACAACCAGTGGACGAAGACCCGGCCGACCCCCACGCAAATCATTCAGCCAAACCACCAAACCCGACATCACCACCAGCGCCAACAATCAAAGCCCCAAAACCACCCCACTGACCGAGCAAAACGGCAACGCGCACAAAGATTCCCAATTCGACGATTCTAGTCCCAGCGACACCCGCACGACAAAGGAGAACCGACCCGCTCACTCGCGAAGCCTGCGCAGCAGATCTCGGCCACCGTCACGGCGCCAATCCGCAGCAGCCAACGCCGACTCACGTCCATTGGAGCCGGAGGAAACTCCACAGAACGGGTATCAGAATGGAAACGACGTACCGGACCACACTGAACAGCGACAACAACAGCAACAGCCAACGCCCCCCTTACACACGGGCAAAGAAAACTCGCATGGCGGCGCAAACGGCGTACACAAGCCCGATACACGAGAGAAGCGCAAAGCACAGTCCGCAGCGCGAGACATCATGGTACGATTAGCTATGCAGCGTGAAGAAGCAATGGAAACTGAGGATTCGCGATGATAGCGAGTGATGTGGATTTATTGAAACACAAAAGGAAAAAGTCTTCTGTTTTGAATACACAAAAGCAAGCAAGCTAGACTGACCCGCTCACTTTATTTTCCCTTTTCTTCCTTCTATCAATTGTATTATCTATACTCTATCTTTGGGTAATGTGACACCCCCTCTTTTTCTTCTTTCATGTGTTTGTACAAAAAGTGGCCCCTTTTCTCTGGTTTTTCTTTCTACACAGATATCTATAGGATCACCCCGCCACCTTATTCTTTACTAGCTCTTTCATGGCGCCCCTCTTTCTTGATTCAATTCCTCACTAGGCCGAGATTGCCAGTCTAGCTTTTCTGCACAATGATATCCCCACATTGGGTGTGATCCAGCCCAATTCTTATCCAATCAATCCAAAAATGTCCGATTTGATATGGCTCCAGCATATAGATAGAATGTAGATATTAGGCAGTTCAGCAGTAGACGAGTAGTTGTCGATCAGAAGCACGGCTCGAATACCCATAATCTAGAGTTCAAAGCATGGGGAATTTTCGTAAAATGCCTCGAAAGGCATTCGTGACAAGCGAGCCAAACCACCAGGACCTGTATCTTGAACCCGGTCTGCTGCCTGGTCAAAAACACAGTCCCGTACGGAAGAGAAAGAAATAATGGATGAAAGAAAAAGAAGAAAAGAGGTAAGATGCTAATTACTTCACACACATGAACCCGCAGCCTTCTCTGGCTCGTTCACAGGCCTTCTTGAGCGCCTGTTCCTCAGTATCGGTCCATTTGACGGTCAATTCATCCCACGGTTTGCGGGAGTTGAATTCTTCGCGGAAGGTCTTGTGCATGGCTTGGAGGCGGCTGACTTCGCGAGGGTCTCCGGTGCCGGAGTAGACGAGGAATAACGTGCAAGGGGGGAGGGATTGGTAGATTTGGTGGATGTTGGAGACAGTGCGGGAGACGGTGTCGGCGAGATTGCGAGTGGCTTCTTTGGTGGGGGAGACGGCGGCGGATGTCGGAGTCGTTTCTTCAGGAGGGGGAACGAGCGTCGTCGACTCGTTCGCGTTGTTGGGGTCGGGCATCCGATTGCACCAGCCGCGATAAACTTCGAGTTCGCGCAATCTGGCCCAAGTGAAGTCAACACCGCCTCCGGGAATGGAGGGGTTGCTGTCGTCGCCGTTGACTACACTGGAAATGCCATTTACAACGTCGGTGTCGTTGCTGCATCCTATCGATGTAGTCGCCTGCGACCCAAAGCCGCGCTCTGGGTTGCCCCAGTCGACAACAGCTCCGGTGCGGCCTTCGTTGGTGGGCGATTTCCCGGAACGCATGGAGCGTGCCAGGCGCTTGAAGATACTCTCGTTCGATGCTTCACTAGTGCCCCAGCGCTCACCCTTTTCGCACTTCTGCTTCACGAGTTCGAGCACAGCACGCGCATCTTCGATCGAGTCGTGGCCTGTCTGGCCCTTCTGGATCTCTTTCCCGAGATACTTCTGGGTGAGCCATCTCAAACTGCACTTGAGCGGCGGTCCGCGGGGATGGGGGTAGATAAAGGTGGTGTCGACAATGAATGGGTGGGTGAGTTTCAGGGCGTTGAAGTCGGAATTCAGGGAGTGGCCGACGATGATGGTACGAGGAGTAAGGAGAGAGAGAAGCTTTTGCTGGATGTCGGCAAGAGTCGTGGTGACAGGGTCGAGTAACTCTTTAGTGATACCGGAGAAACGAGTCAGATAATCGATGATAGGTCGCTGGGGTTTCACCAGCTCATCTAGTACGACTTCACCATCCCACCGGACCATGCTGATGCGCGTGAGCTCGGATTGGCCACCTTCGGTGATACACATCTCGCAATCCAACGCTAAAACATCCCGGCCTGCGGTCATGCTGCCTTGCTGGATTTCAGAGTCTGGTACCTGTCCAGCCTCCAAGTTCTCGACGTGAGTATCTACCCATCCATCTTCCTTGGAATGTCCGGCACGTTTGCGATTCTCCAACAAAGTCGACTTTTCTTGTTCTGTGGCGAGCAGAGCCGGATGAAGCACATAGTCGTTCTCCCGGAGATCTTCCAAAGAGCTAATAAAAGTGGTGATCGGTGTACGCTGGAAGGCGATACTCTTGTCCACCTTGGGAGGTTTTACTCCTTTCGTGTTACTATCCTTGCCCTTCGGTAGAGCAGATAGAAGTATGGCTTGAAGTGGAGAGTGAATCTTGTTGTACTTGGAATCACCGGGGGCTTTTACCGGCCAGGCGTGAGGGAACATATCCGCTAGCGGCTGTAGGGGTGCCGGAAGGGTATCGCGCGAAAGAGGGCGAGGATTGAACCGATGTGACCGATCTTCCAGCGGCAGACCCTGCTTCCAGCGAGCAAAGTCCTCTGCTTTTGTATCCTCATCCATTGCCTTGTCCGTACCGGCAGGTTCTTCTGTCTCCTTCTCACAGACTGAATCCGCATCCAGAGGAAGTGATCCGTCGAACATGCCCAGTTCCAGACCGGGCACCATCAGCACGACAATCTTCCTAACATGACCAGAGTGCTTGACTGAGATCCACTGCGGCGCGACGCCATCAGCAAAGCAGTAGAGTAGCAGACTCTGAAGATCAGCAATTCGGATGGATGACTGCAATTTGCCTTCGACATAGGTGAGGACTGGGTATTTTGTCTTCTCCCCGTCCACGCGCTTCTTCTTCGAAGCTCTTTCCTTGGGCATATCATCCTGCGCCTTCCCAGGTTCTTCCGAGTCGATACCGTTCTGAGACTTTGTCTTGCCGGAGTTTAGGAGCGAGAGTGTCTGAGCAATGCCAAAGCTATTCGCATCTGAGCTCTTCTTTACCGGATCCTCGTCATCTGAGCACCCAGCCTCTGTGCGCTTGCGCTTGTTTCCTCCCATGATGTTAGGGCGACGACCGGGGCGGCAAAGAACAAATCAAGACAAAATCGGGGGCTCGGAAGGCCTGCTAGCTGCAGAGGAATCGACCAGAATCACCCAATGTGCTTCCGATATCGCAATGACAACTCACACAGTCACAAGCAGGTCTAGGCAAGGATGGGGAATTGGCGTCCAGAAGATCGACAAGAGGTCGCGCGACGCAGAATCCCGCCGACTTTTGAGGCACGTGATGATAATCTATCTGGTTACAATACGGTACGGATAGCATGCAGGGCTGGCCGGCCTATCAACGGAGCAGCATGTTCCTGCGTTCAGAAGCTGCATGAACAATCACCAACCCAATATTGAGTCTACATAGTGGAGTATAGCACATATAGAGTCAACTGCATTAGCTCCAAAGTGACTGCTCCATAGCGCCCATTGCAGCATCTTGTTGCTGACGCAGCCTCGGAGCCACCCAGGCTCCGTCTTACGCCGAAGATCGCAGAAGCAGAAAGCGGGTATGGACCGTGTATTACAAACGGCCCCGATGGTTCGATCTGATAAGCGGCCAAAAATTCGCCATCGGCCAGCCATCCTCCTCTGCTCCTCTCCATCTTCCACTCCATCTCGGCCACACCGTGGGGCACTTTGTGACTCTTTCCCCTCTACCTCTCGTCTTCTTTCCTCCCTGACCCTCCTCCGCTCCCAAGTTTATCTCCCTCTTTTTCAACTCCACTCATCCTTTTTTAGATCTTCTCTCTCCCATCGTCACATCAGACGCCAAGTTTTCCCCGCCGAAACCCCACCTCAGTAACCCAACCGAACTATCATCATGTCCTCCCTCGTCGAAGTCGCCTCTGAGGCCGAATTCCCTAACATCATCTCCTCCATCCCCCCGTCATGCCTGCAGGTTCTCTACTTCCACGCCCCTTGGGCTGCTCCTTGCGCCCAAATGCGCGCCGTCCTCTCCGCCCTCGCCTCTCAGTACCCCGCGACCAACCCTCCCTCCATCGCCTTCCTCAGCGTTAACGCCGAGGAGCTCCCTGATATCTCGGAAGAGTACAATGTCACCGCTGTTCCCTTCGTAGTCCTCGTCCGGGACCACAATATTCTCGAAACCATTAGCGGCAGTGAAGCAATCCAAGTGCGCGATGCCGTTGAGCGCCACGCCGGTGCCGGTGCCGCCGCCTCTGCAGACGGTGCTCCCAAGACCGTCATCCCCCCACCATTGACAGCCGTGCCTCGAGAGAACGTCCCCGCCACCGCTACACAGGCGCCCGCCACGAACGGCAACGCAGCCGCTCCCGCATTGACCCCCGAACAGTCGAAGGAGGCGCTGTTTGCGCGTCTCGCAGAGCTGGTGAAGGCTGCGCCGGTGATGCTGTTCATGAAGGGATCTCCCAGTGCGCCTCAGTGTGGATTCAGTCGGCAGATTGTGGGCATTCTGCGTGAGCGGAGCGTCAAGTACGGATTTTTCAACATTTTGGCCGATGAGGATGTGAGACAGGGCCTGAAGGAGTTTGCGGACTGGCCTACCTTCCCGCAGTTGTGGGTGGAGGGTGAGTTGGTTGGTGGATTGGACATTGTAAGCCCCCTCCGTTCACTATTTATAGTGTACTTGCAGTACTAACAAGATATCTCTGAACAGGTCAAGGAGGAACTCGAGAACGATCCCGATTTCCTGGACCGCTTCTCCGTCAACAAGCCCGCTGCTTAAGCTATAGAACTATAAGTCGAATAATACCACGGCCTTGTCCGTATTGGATAGCTCCCCCTTTTCAACAACATTTCCTATTCACGTTTACCTTTTTTCAACCCTCGATTGTTAGAGCTTGAGATCTAGCGGCGTCTTGCTCCTCTTCCCCTGTGTCCATTATTGACAGGCTGAATTACATAGTACTTGACTGGATGATATCTATACCCATGAGTGAGTGCCATGGGGAGTTCTTGTCGTCGTTTATATAAAATCTACCAAATGAAAAAGACCACTTATGATTATTATACAAATGACCCAGTCAGCACCGCTTAGTATAAGTAGTTATGTATAGTATTCATGTATCAGACCCTCAGGCCACAGCTGTATGCACATATGATACATCTTCCTCTTCGTATATAAATAGCAATGGATATCTACTTCCCCCCCCAACCCCCCTCTCTCTCCACCCCCCAAAATCAACCACTAGTTTAAGAACTAAGGCAATTCATCCGGCTTACCTACCCCCTTCAACAACTTAACATGTTTACTATTCAGACCCTTGCGCTTCAACCTCCACAGATTCGGATACTTATTGGATGACGTCTTAAACTCCGACAACATCGCATCCTCATCGACATACGCACCAGCC